GCTACAAGACATACATATTTTGCTATTATGTCAACATATTTAGAAATATCAGCAAACTGTTTCTATGTAATAGAAAATTTTATAGCTACAAATTCAGTTTCAGCAAACCGTAATTAGCTGTGGTAAAAACTTTTTTTTCCGTGTGATTGATTTTTAGAGATATCTTTTTTGCGTATAAATTTTTTAATTTATTTACAATCTTGGAAGATTGTTAATTACCTACTTTTTTTTTAAATATACGTCAATGTACAATACATGCGTACACGTGTTATCTCACGGTGTCCGATTCGGGAAAATCTTCACATACAACAAGACGTGCATTTTCTCAATTATGTTTTATACATCATTAGCGGTGCTTAGAGACGTAATTGCCCGTAAAAATTAACGACCGTGTAGCTTGATTAGAGAAGCAATAGCAAACGCTCGCGCTGAAGTATACATCATAACAAACTAGGTCGTGTTTCCATGGCACGTTGCAGTAATAAAAAGAAGCGCAACTCTCTCGCCTTCCGTGAAGGGACGAAGACGAAAAAGAGAGTTTTCACCTTACATCTCGCGGAACAATCTCGGATATAGTTTTCCATCGCATGCATTCATCCGTAACGACTCACGAAAACACTCAAGGGCCGAGTGTTTGAAACACTCTGTCTTTCGCACCCTGTGCTGCGAATCGCGCGAAAATCAGTTTTGTTCTCGATTCGCGTAAATTAAATTCTATTTACGAAACACAATAAAAGAAATGTTACATTACTTCGTTTTGCGCCCAAGTGTTTCTTATTTTAAACAAAATTTTCATTAAATTAAATGTAACATAATTTGCTTTCTGTGTATGTTACCACTGAGAGAAAACAAAAGAAAATACGCGAGATCTACATATTAAATAATTAAAAACGTCACAGAAATAATTGACATTAACACAGAGTCTGCGAACAGCAAGGCCCTGCGCACAATAGACAAAATATTAAGAATAGAAATAAATATTAAATATTAGAAATAAGAAATTAAAATTATTTCTTTACAAAACAAAATTATTTAAATTATTTAAATTAATGCATCATAAATTAAAAAATAAGAATTTGGAATAATTAATCTATTCCGTTCTCTTGTTTAATGTAACATTATTTCAAATTCCTTTTTTTAATATTTAATTTTTTTTTTCTGTTCCTAATATTTTTTCTATTGTGCGCAGAGCCTAACTCACGCGAGTTTGATACGAACACTGAGAGAAAAATGCTTGGTATTTACAACTATAATTGCATAGTAAAATAATTATAGTTGGAATTCTTATTTTTATCGTTAATATTGTTATAATATTAGTAAAACTAACCTTATATACATGGTTTTGACAAGTATGTAAAAATTTTGCTATAAATTATAATAATTTTAAATAGTGACATAGTCAAATGTCAAATAACAGATGGTAAATAAAATACACATTTTTAAGTAATAATTACAATCACAATTATAGTAAATGTGACTATACTGTTGACATCAGCTTTACTATTTACTGGTCATAATAACTAAAAAATAAGTAAGGAAAGTAACTTAAGAAATACATTTTTATGACTACATTAATAATCTGGTTAACTATATTTTTAACTACGAATGTACTAAAGGTATCGTAGAAATTATAAAAAAAGTGGCCAGAAAAGTAATCATTTACATACAATGCATAAAATCATAGCAATAGTATATTTTAGTAACCACATTTATAAATAGCAATTTACTATTTTCCTAAAAACAATAAAAATCATATGAAATGATTTTTATAAATCATTTTAATAAAAATCATTTTATATGATTTTTATTGTTTTTAGGAAAATAGTAAATTGCTATTTATAAATGTGGTTAGTAAAAATATACTATTGCTATGATTCTATGCATTGTATGTAAATAATTACTTTTCTGGCCACTTTTTTTATAGTTTATACGATATCTTTAGTACATTTGTAGTTAAAAATATAGTTAACCAGACTATTAATGTAGTCATAAAAATGTATTTCTTAAGTTACTTTCCTTACTTATTTTTTAGTTATTATTACCAGTAAATAGTAAAGCTGATGTCAACAGTATAGTCACATTTACTATAATTGTGATTGTAATTATTACTTAAAAATGTGTATTTTATTTACCATCTGTTATTTGACATTTGACTATGTTACTATTTAAAATTATTATAATTTATAGCAAAATTTTTACATACTTGTCAAAACCATGTATATAAGGTTAGTTTTACTAATATTATAGCAATATTAACGATAAAAATAAGAATTCCAACTATAATTATTTTACTATGCAATTATAGTCGTAAATACCAAGCATTTTTCTCTCAGTGTACTTTTAGAACCAAAAAATCAACGTTCAACACTCACTCAACGTGTTGACGTGAACACAACAACAAGTTGTGTCGGCTGAACGTGACCATTGTCTTAAGTCATCTACAAAATATTGCAATATAGCCAATCAAGTACCCGCTTTCCGTAAAAATCCGAAGATTGATTCGCATCGTTGCCGCGTATTGTCGCGAGACAAAAGAGTTTGAATGATCAGAGTGGCAGCACTGTTACTGCCAATTACACACGCACCCTTGGTTAATCACGTTTGTGCAAGTCGGGCAACAGTTGAAATCGAGCAGCAGTTGAGTGTTGAGTGTTACATTTTGCCGGATAACAATTGAGAATTCGCCGATTTCATCGTTTAGAAGAATTTATAAGTAAGTAATTATATAACAAAGAGAAGCTTGATTTAATAACATATATATATATATATATAACAACATTCTTTTATAATTACAAGAAAGTAGTGTACCTGAAAATTTATTCAATATAACCTGACTGAATTTCATGTGATGCATTAGCAAAATATAAAATTATATATGTAAATTACATACAAGCAATAATATATTTTTGTTTATTATTATCTTGCCGTACAAATTAGTTTAGCAAATCGCAGACTAAAGTGGAAACTGATGTTGTTCGCGAATCGAGCCAAAATGATATTCTGTTTGTTTTTCATATTTGATAATCTATATCACGAGTCTGAATCGTGATATTCATGGCCCGGAATTATAACCACAAATTTTACTCGTTACTGTACGACAAGAGGTTAATTTCTTCTATAATTTTTCAATGAAAGACAAGAATTTTCGGCTACTTCTTTGAACAAAACTAAATTACGTGAAATACAATATCTTGTGATCACGGAATAAAGTGTCATTCAAAGCAGTAATAAAACATTTTTGCTTTTTATTGAATAATTATAGAAGAAATGAAAATTAAAAAAACTATTATTGCTTGTATGTAATTTACACGTATAATTTAATATTTTGCTATGACTCGAATAAAATTGTTATATTAAATAGATTTTCAAGAAAAACATTTTTATAGCTACAAAAAAATATGTTAGAAGACTTTTATTCATTTATTCAATCTTTATATGGTATTTTATATGAAAATATAAGAATTTTAATTTTTTTATTGATTTCTTTAACATTTTTATATATTTTTACAGGTTAAATATATTATTTTAATATTTTTAAAAGTACGATGTCTAAATTTATTGAAGAAACATTAGAAGCTTGGGGTCTTTCCGAATATATTAAGAGATTTAAAGGTTATTATTGGATTTTTATTAATATAAAGACAGAATAATTATATAGTATTTGTATTTGTTTAGATGAACAAATTGATGAGGAAGCATTTATACATATGCCTGAATCTATGATCAAAGAGATAATTCCTATAATCGGAAAGCGTTTTTGTTTTATACAAAATCGAAAAAAATTGTTTCAAAATGAAAATGAAAGTTCAGTTTTGGTAAGATAATTGTTGCATTTTATGATTTTATCTTTA